ACCACCACATGGCCGGGTGGGCACGGACACTGCGCTGGGGACAGCGGGGACAGGGTCAGTGAGGGGATGGGATGGGATGGGATGGGATGGGATGGGATGGGATGGGATGGGATGGGATGGGATGGGATGGGATGGGATGGGATGGACACTGCGCTGGGGACAGCAGGGACAGGGTCAGTGATGGGATGGGATGGACACAGCGCTGGGGACAGTGGGGACAGCGGTCAGTGCCGGGGAGGGGGGATCGGGGTGGGGAGGGGTCTCAGAGGGTGGGTGAGGGTTCTTGAAGGGTTGGTGACAGTTCTCAAAGGGTTGATGAGGGTTCTTAAAGGGTGGGTGAGGGTTGGTTACAGTTCTTGAAGGATTGGTGAGGGTCCTCAAAGGGTTAGTGAGAGTCCCCAGGGGGCTGGGGGTGGTTCTCAAAGGGTTGGTGAGAGTTTTGAAGGGTTGGTGACAGTTCTCAAAGGGTTGGTGAGGGTTCTCAAGGAGCTGGTGAGGGTTCTGCAAGGGTTGGTGACAATTCTTAAAGGGTTGGTGACAGTTCCTGAATGGTTGGTGAGGGTTCTCAAGGGGTTAGTGAGGGTTCTCAAAGGATTGGTGAGGGTTCTTGAAGGGTTAGTGAGGCTTTTGAAGGGTTGGTGAGAATTCTTGAAGGGTTAGTGAGAGTCCCCAGGGGTTGGGGGGTGGTTCTCAAAGGGTTAGTGAGGAATCTTGAAGGGTTGGTGAGAGTTCTTGAAGGATTGGTGAGATTTTTCAAAGGTTTACTGAGATTTTTCAAAGGTTTACTGACACTTCTTAAAGGCTTACTGAGAGTTCCCAAATGTTTACTGACAGTTCTCAAAGGTTTACTGAGATTCTCAATGGTTTAGGAAGAGTTCTCAGACATTTACTGAGGTTCTAAAAGGTTTTCTGAGAGTTCTCAAATGTTTTCTGAGATTTCTCCAAGGTTTATTGAGATCCTCGAGGGTTTGCTGAGAGTTCTCAAAGGTTTAATAGGATTTCTCAGAGGTTTACTGAGGGTTCTGAAGGCTTTACTGAGATTCCCAAGGGTTTACTGGCAGTTCTCAAAGATTTACTGAGAGTTTTCAAAGGTTTATTGGATTTTTCAAAGGTTTACTCAGAGTTCCCAAAGATTTACCAACAGTTCTCAAAGTTTAATAAAAACTCTCAGAGGTTTTCTGAGATTCTCCAAGTTTTATTAAGATTTCTCAAAGGTTTTCTGAGAGTTCTCAAAGGTTTACTGAGAGTTCTTGAAGGTTTTCTGAGAGTTCTCAAAGGTTTACTGAGAGTTCTTGAAGGTTTTCTGAGAGTTCTCAAAGGTTTACTGAGAGTTCTTGAAGGTTTTCTGAGAGTTCTCAAACCTTTACTGAGATTTCTCAAAGGTTTATTGAGATTTCTCAAAGGTTTAATGGGATTTCTCAAGGGTTTACTGAGAGTTCCCAAAGCTTTACTGAGATTCTCGAAGGGTTTCCAGGATTTCTCAGGGTTTTCCTCAGATTTCTCCAGGATTTCCTGAGATTTCTTGAGGTTTTCCTGAGATTTCCCGGGGATTTCCTAAGACTTCTCAGGGGTTTCCTAAGATTTCTTGAGGTTTTCCTGAGATTTCTCCAGGATTTCCTGAGATTTCTCCAGGATTTCCTGAGATTTCTCCAGGATTTCCTGAGATTTCTCTGGGGTTTCCTGGGCTTTCCCAGGGGTTTCCTGAGATTTCTCAGGGTTTTCCTAAGATTTCCCAGGGGTTTCCAGGATTTCTCCAGGGTTTTGCCCTCCCTGCCCAGCAGCCTGAGCTGTCCCCCCCCTCCCCTGCAAGCCCCAAGTGAACGTTTGTGTTCAGGGCACAGAAACCACAACAAACAATCCCAATGACACCGGGAATGGTCACTGTGAGCCCCTGGAGCACCATCATTCACCTGCAGTGCCATTTGCACACAGGGCAGGGGTCACCTTGAATAAATGAGCCCATTTTCCTCTTGCCCCGGGCTGTGACAGCCCCAGGGAGGTGACAGAGCACATGTGACACTGGCACTGATGGGAGATCCATCAGCAGCTCACAGGGAACCTCTGACAAATCTCACCAACCCTTCAAAACTCTCAATAAACCTTCGAGAATCTCAATAAACCCTCGGCAGACATGGAGGAAATGACCTAAAACTCCTTCAATCTCTGCCCTCCTGTGGTCCTGTTACAGAATCCTGGGATGGGTTGGGTTGGAGGGACCTTCAATCCCATCCTATCCCACCCCTGCCCTGGGCAGGGACACCTCCCACCATTCCAGGCTGCTCCAACCTGCCCTTGGACACTCCCAGGGATCCAGGGACACTACAGCTTCTCTGGGAATTCCAGCCCAGCCCCTCCCCACCCTCCCAGGGAGGAATTCCTTCCCAATATCCCATCCATCCCTCCCTCTGGCAGTGGGAAGCCATTCCCTGTGTCCTGTCCCTCCATCCCTTGTCCCAAATTCCTCTCCAGCTCTCCTGGAGCCCCTTCAGGCCCTGGAAGGGGCTCCAAGGTGTCCCTGGAGCCTTCCCTTCTCCAGGGGAACATTCCCAGCTCTCCCAGCCTGGCTCCAGAGCCTAAGGGCTCCAGAATCCTGGAATCCCAGATTGTTTTGGGTGGGCAGGCACCTCAAATCCCAGCTCATTCCATGGGCAGGGACACTTCCCCCATCCCAGGCTGCTCCTGCTCGTTCCTCCCCCACCTCTCAGCTGGACACAAAGGTTGCCCTCTGGTGTTCACTCCAGTGCAGTAAAACAGCACTGGATGCAACTTCCCAACCCACCTTTGGGAATAAATTGGGAACTGGGAAGAGCAATGCAGGTCTGACCCATTTGGTGACACCTCTTAAATTCCCAGGCATGTCATTCCCACCTCCACTCTGGAGCCCAGATGGCACTGTTCCTGTCACACTGAATGCCCCCAGAGCCTTCCAGTTATTCCTGAGCCCTGAGATCCCAAACCCACCATCTCCCACATACCCGAGGACATCCCAAACCCACCATCTCCCACCCACCTGAGGCCATTCCAAACCCACCATCTCCCACCTACCTGAGGACCAGGACACCCGAGGAAAGGCCCCTCAAGGGGAGCCCGAGGTCATCTCTGTGCCGAAGCTCCTTCTTCTCGCTTCATTTTCCCGAATCCCTGGGACATAAAGGAAAATGATGCAGGTGTGAGGCATTTTTATAGCTCTTACTCACCTGATTTGTTCTTCTGAGCACCTCCCATCAGTCCCTGCTGGCACAGGGTGTTTTTCCCATGTCCCAAGTGAAGCTTTGGGGTGCTGGGGTGGTGGAAACGCAGACATTTGGATTTACAGGAGTTGTCTGCACCAAGATTTAACTGGGAGTGAGGAGCTTCCCAGGAAAACCGGGTGAGTGCAGCTGTTTGGATGGCTCGGGAGCAGTGCCTGGGATGGCAGGAGCAGCCCCCCTGGGAATGGGCACCCCACGGTGCTGCTGGTGCCACGGGGCAGGATTGGGTTAGGGGTCACTCCACATTCCCAGGGGGACACTTCCAGGGATGGGGACTCCACCCCTGCCCTGGGCAGCTGTGCCAGGGCTGGGCAGCCCTTTCCAGGGAGAAAGTATCCCAATATCCGACCTGAACCTCCCCTGGTGCCACCTGAGGCCATTTCCTCTCATCCTGTCCCTGTTTTCAGCAGGGAGAAGGAAAACACCTCGACCCCCTTGTTTTGTCACAAGCTCCTTGATTTTCCACCTAACTGGGACCTTCCCAAACATTTATCCCGCTCTCCAGTCACTCTGGTGTCCCAAGGGGTTGTTAAGCTCCAGGTTGGGTATCACAGACCATTCCCATTATCAAGAGCAAGTGAAGGAAGTGTTTGGAATTTAAACCCTCTCCGAGGTGTTCTCCCCAGTCCAGGAGCAGCCAAATCCTGGGATGGGAACTCCAAATGGAGATGGAAGGTGAGGGAGGCCTTTAAGGGCAGGAGGTTTCCATTACCTGGGAGGATGGGGCTGAAAGGATGGCTGAATTATGTGGGAAAAGGGAAATTCCTGAACTGTCC